CGGGATGTCTCGGGCTCCCCTGGCCCTGACCCGTGCCTCTGGGAACCTGTCATTTGTTCCAAGCGCCCAGTGCCTTCCTCGGGAGGGGGCCCTCCACATGAGCAGGTGTCACTCCATAGCTCTGACCCGGGTCCTGATTTACACAGCGGAGATGACCTCCATCCTGCTCACTTCATCGCATGGGCACAACCAGAGCCAAGGGGCTTTGAAAACAAATGCAATCCACACACTACTAGCCTCTACCCAGCACTGCTGGCGAGCGCCCCCTGGTGGCCGCGCCAGAGCTGACAGCGGCATCACAGTTCACAGCTGAGAAGTGCTGGCCGGTGAGGTAGCCCTCAGGACTGTGGATACAGAGGCCTGCAGTTTCTGTCCTGGGATTGGCTGCTGTCTGTGAAGTTTCTTTTCTATTTTTCTATTTCAGTGCTGTATGGACATGAGACTCCTGTGCTTGCTTGCATCTTTAATAAAGACACGTCCCAGGCCTGGTGTCGAGCGTGTGCTGCGGGGCGGGACCCCCACGTGATCCCCTCAGCACTTCAGGGCAGCACGGGCATGAGCCCCACGGACCCCCTGTCCCTGGGGCTGACTGCACAGGGTCACGGGCCGGGTCGGGGTTGGCTGTTCCTCTCGGGCTCGGCGTCCCAAGCATGGAATTCACCTCGCTCTTTGTCCGCCACCTTTGATACCTTCTGTAAGCGGAGATGAGAGGCAGGGTGGGGGGAGGGGAACGCCTGGGAGCGATCTGGGGGACGCAGGTGTCACCCTCTGCCTCGGGAGGTCCCGCTGTCAAGGTGGCGTTCCTGGGGTGGCAAGACAGCACTGCACTGCGGGGTCCGCAGCCCGTCTCCTCGTCGCCGTGGAAGGAAGTCCGAGCCGTGGTTTATCGGGTAAAGCTGGGCTTTCGGAAACCCTTTACTTCCCGATGGACTGGTTCCTGTCAGTCTCACGTGAGACCCAGACTGGCTGGGCCTTTAGAATTGTCCTAGGCCCCGAGTTAGCTTGTGGGCTATCCAGTCTGCTGTGTCCCAAACCACAGACAACCACCTAAAGTCAGGAAGTCCAGGGACACCGGTCTATGGGAGGCAGGGGAGGCGGTACTGGTTGGTGAAACACCTCCGCTGGCCCCGATTGGCTGACACCTCACCTGTGGGCGCCCAGCACCTCCTGCCTTGATGGCTTTGTCTCGGCGTCGTGTGCCCCGCAGGAGCACAGGGGGCAGCCCACACGCACTGCCCGCACGTGCTCAGCACCAGACTCTCTGGTCAGAAGGAGCTCGTCCACTCAGCAAACACCTGAGCACCTGCAGGGGGTGAGGTGGACCAGTCATCACCAAACCCACGGGAGGAGTGCAGCCCTAAGAAGACTGGGGGGACCCAGTAGACCACATGCTGGCGGGAGCGCGAAGGAAGCGAGGGCCCCAGCTTGGAGCTGGGGGAGAGGCCAGGGTGGGCCGGCACCAGCCCTGGGAGGGGGCTTACAGGTCAGGAGAGTTTGGGTTTCTGGCAACAAAAAGGAAGCCTCGGAGGGTTTCATCAAGGGAAGGCGACCTGTGTGCATGTTGCAAAGCTCCCCTGGCTGCTCGCGAGTAGGTTCCAGGTCGCCACAGACAACCACCTAAAGTCAGGAAGTCCAGGGACACCGGTCTATGGGAGGCAGGGGAGGCGGTGTACCATCTCTAGGCTCCTTCTGACCTAAGAGTCTGGTGCTGAGCAAGTGCAGGCAGTGCGTGTGGGCTGCCACCTGTGCATCCTGCCTGGCACACGACGCTGAGACAAAGCAATCAAGGCAGGAGGTGCTGGGCGCCCACAGGTAAAGCCAGTTTGGAGACTGGAGTGAGGGGGTGGGGTGCAGATGGGGTGTGAGTCGGGCCAGGAGGGCGAGAGGCCCTGGCTGACTGAATTCCACAGGTCAGCCTCCCCGGGATTCTCAAGGGTGGGCCACGGCAGGGGCCAGTGCGAGGGCCTGACTTCACAGACCAGCGAGATCCCCACAGGACTCTGGGGCCAGCACGGGG